GTTTTGCGTCGTTGTTGCAGAGCGGCCGTCGTCACAGATGTCCTGGCTCGACCGCTTCCTGAAGGAGACGTCGACGGGTCTAGCAGCGGTGAGTGAGCACTCGCACGCGTTCATTCCCTCCGTCATCCCCCTCACCCCCCGCAGCGCCACCTACATGTCACTCTCAGCGGTGAGTGAGCGCTCGCACGCGTTCATTCCCTCCGTCATCCCCCCTCACCCCCCGCAGCGCCACCTACATGTCACTCTCAGCGGAAAGTGAGCGCATGCATTCCCTCCGTCGTCACCCTCTACTCTTGCCGACACTCCTTACATGTCACAGTGGTAAGTGCACGCATGTGCGTTCTGTCCGGCACCCCCTCTTCCCCTGTGATGCTGCCTACCTGTCACTCTCTGCCGTAAACAAGTGTTTGTGCATTCCCTCCTTCGTCTCCCCCCCCCCCTGCAGCGCCCCCTATCCGTCACTCAGCAGTAAGTAAGGCTAGCACGCACGTATATTGCCTCCATCGTTCTCCCTCCCCTGAGCGCGGCATTCAACGCTCGCATCGTGATCGCTGAAAACGTTGGTTGCTAAGCCTGCCAGTAGGGGGCGCTGACGCTGACCTGCGCGGCTGTCTGCACATTGCAGGTGGGTCACGACCTTGACCTCGACGAGCACGATGACAACACGCGCGTCGCTGTCAACAGTCAGCTGTCGTCACGGTCCAGCGCGTCGGAGCTGGGCGACAAGCTGAGTCCGGATGCTGAGGTAACGATGCTAACGATGCTTACGACACTAACGACGTCGATGTATATATCGGAGGCATTAAATTCAGAAATAATTTCAGATTAAGAGGCTGCCAGATTAAAACTGTTAGAAGACAAAATCATAAATAGTCTAATACTAAGGAAGTCTTAGAAGGAATACTAAGGTTTAGAAATACTAAGGAGGAATTCGTGAAAATCAATTCTTCATTAAGATACTTATTAAGATTGTGACTTATGTACATCAGCGATCTGCCCTTGGACTCTCTCTTTATCTCTCTCTCTTGCTCTCTGTGTAACTGTAACTGTGACTGTAAAGATGACTGTGTAACTGTGACCGTGTCTTGCTGCGGCAGGCTGAAGGTGGAGTTGGAGAAGGTTCAGGAGCGGCACACTGCCAGCGCGGAGCAGCAGCAGACGCGCTACGATCAGGAGACGAAGAACCTACAGGAGCAGCTACAGTACAGCGAGACGCAGCAACAGTCTCTGCAGAAGGAGGTGCAGCTCTACAAGGAGAAGGTGGAGCTGGCACGTACAGAGAGGTAAGTCCCCCGAGACCTTCCCCCTCCTCTTCTCTCCCCCTGACTATCATCACGACCACCTTCCCGTATGTGATTTCAGTCGCTCCTCCTTCCAGTTTCTCCCCCGCGCTCCCCTCCACGTGTAGCACGGCAGCAGGAGGTGCAGCAGTGCAAGGAGAAGGTGGAGCTGCTAGCATTTAGCAAGAGGTGAGCCTTGATACCCTAACCCTCCGTCTCGTCACCTGATTTTGCTTCCCCCTCCCCTTCCTTCCACTCGTGAATCAGCAGGAGTTCGACCTGTGATTGGACGTCGTCCGTCTCTCATTGTTGCTCTTGGCCCGTGATTGGATGTTCGTTGATCCTTCAATAACGTGTGCTCGTGTTGTGTGGCGCTGCAGCCAATCGGAGACGCAAGAGTCGCTGAATGACATGAAGAGACGTTACGCCCGGGAGAAGTCCATGCTAGAGGAAGACAACGGCAAGCTGCAGAAGGAAGCCGACCAGGTGAGCGCATGTGCTGCCACCTGATGGCACCACGACATTATCGTAACCCTGCGCTATATGATGCGTATACACTAAAACTCGCATAAGTCGGCACTTTTGGGACCAGTATTTTTGTGCCGACTTATGCACGAAAATGACGATATACGCGTAAGTCGTCATTTTGTCGACTTATGTGTAAGTTGCCAAAATGACGACTTATGCATGTATATCGTCATTTTGACGACTTACAAAGCCGGCATTTCGACGACTTGAAGAGTGTCAAGCTGATATTTCGCCAAGCTTCATATCTACATGAACTAGTATATGCACTAAGGTATTATCTCAAGATTTCTTGATCCTCATGCCATAAAACACTAAAATGTTCAGTAAATAATCAAAGGAGAGATTACCCCACTCATTAACTAATCAGGTTTTAGTCTTTCGTAGTACAGTACAATGTATCAAACCATTTTGAGATGATTCCCTAGGCAGACACAATAAGTAAACATAATTTTTAATCTTGTAATGAGCTTTAATGAACTAACTTAAATACATGTACATGTGAACAAGTAAAATATGCAAGCCTATGCATGTACACTAGCTATTGGGGATTTGATTGCGTGTAGATTGAGTGAGACAATAGCCTGCATATGTTCCGCGAAACAATGAGTCATCATTTTTACAAGGAATTCGCTGTACATTGGGCTGCATACACTGCGCCATCGGCATTTCTGATGACGACGTACAGATTGAATTTCACTGTTGTTTGTATTACATGGGACCTGTCTGAGGGCGATGGCTTGTACATAATGACGGCTTGTAAATGACGACTTAGGCGGGGCTATTCAAATGGATTTATCATTAGAGAAATTCGGGACTTCCATGACGACTTACGCGAATTGTCAAGTTAGACGTTGACATCTTATGCTAGTTTTACTGTAGTATATAAAAGTGTACCAGGGCACGAAATTCAGATTTTTGGCACCGGCCAGAGGGCTGGTAACAGTAATTTTTACCAGCCCTCGCCATAATTTACCAGCCCTCACAAATTTGTTTGTAAAATCAATGTCATGTTTCACGCTTGCATTCTCGATTTCAAATTTGTAAAATGTTGATAAGTTATGGCGTGATATCCTTCAGGTAAAACAGTAATGTAGGCTATTTGCTATAAATAATGTAGGTACTCGCTAACGCGGCTGAAACCACTGGCTCGGAGGGCCGGTGTTTTGCCAATGTTACCGGCCCTCCAAATAATTTGCCAGCATATGCCGGTGGGCCGGTGCTTATTTCGTGCCCTGGTGTACAGTACACAATCTATTATCCGAAATTCTGAAAACTGAAGGTTTTTCCGTGGAGGTCGTCTGCATACCAAAGCTCGCATTTGGCGGCAAAGGTTCACTGCATAAATATTAATGTGTTTGGCATTACTCTTACATATTGTACTGTACCAGTACAGCACTTGTTGGCCTCTTGAAAACTTGGGTTTTAGTACTGGCTAGTTGCAGGATATATGGTATGTATATCTGTACTGTACTACCATTCTGAAATCTGAAAAATTTCGAATTCTGAAACGTGCCTGGTCCTAAGGGTTTCGGATAATAGATTGTATACTGTATATGTATAATATATGAATGTGTTTAAGTCTACTTGACATGTAATCTAATATTAATGTGTTGTTGGAAAATTCAGATCTGTGTATGCAGCCAAATGTTAAGCGTCTGTTATGGTTCATATATACTCAGGGATATTTAAACGTCTATCAGGGATCATATACTCCAAGATATTGAAAAATTTTGTGCAAGATCATATACTATTGGATATGTGAATTTATATCGGGGATAATATACTCATAATCACTTAAATAAATCAGGGGGATCATATACTCATGGGTAGATAGATGTATATAGGGGATCATATACTCTTCTTAGCACGACTGATGTAGGTTGTATGTCGAAGCTGTCTTGGTTCGCGTAGCTGCAGCAGTATGCTACAAGGCGCTTAACTCCATCTTGCGTGGGCCGACGAATGCTCACTCCGGCATCGCTGCTGTTATTATAGATGGCGCAGCTGGTGCAGCGCATCACTAACGAGCGGAATCAGATGGAGCATGAGCTGTCGAATCTACAGGACAAGCGAGACTCCGTCGCCCAGTGGGAGGCGCAGATATCCGAGATCATACAGTGGTGAGTCTCCAGTAATTACCGATAATTCATAGATAATAATTTAATGATAATTAATGAAGTAGATACTAATATATCATAAATAATAATTCAATAGTAATTAATTAAGTATCTAGCAATAATTCATAGATAATAATTTAATGATAATTAATGAAGTAGATACTAATATTTCATAAATAATAATTCAATAGTAATTAATTAAGTATCTACCAATAATTCATTATGGCCTCGCAACTCAGTGTTGCCAGCGTTTGTTAGATCTGCCCCGGCAGCGGTGTTCGTGGCTTAGCCACCAGGTTGCGCTGACGAATGTTCACGTTTGTGCGTCGTTGCAGGGTCAGCGATGAGAAGGATGCGCGAGGCTACCTGCAGGCTCTGGCCACCAAGATGACCGAGGAACTGGACGTGCTCAAGGCCACGGGCATGGGTGGAACGGCCGTGAGTATCCTCGAGACGCTGACCGCCGGCCGAATAATATAATACTCAATTAAATTATTGATATTCAATTAATTGATACTAAATACTCAAATAGCATTTGCGAATCCGAGCGTATGATCCGCTCTTCCCTGTTGTTGCCACTCTAACCACCTATTGGTTCGAGAACTTCCTCTCTCTGTTGTACTGGCATCGTGGACTCGCCGAGATCCTTCCCTTAGTGCTGCTGCGCTCTCGTGTGAGCTTCTAGGTTGACGTTGCCATGGCGTTTGTCCTGCGCATGTCAGACATCCCTTTCGCAATCAGGTGTACGGATGGGAGTCGTGGCCGTGGCAACCAGGTGTACGCATTCTGCGGAGGTCGCCGTGGCAATCGGGTGTACACATTCCGGAGGTTGTCGTGGCGACGACCGCGCATATTTTTCTCGTTGGCGTGTGGCTTCACGTATTTCATGGTTTGCCCCCGCAGGACAAGAGCTGGAGGAATCGGCGCTCGCAGAAGATGGAGAAGATGGAACTGCTGCACCTGCAGTCGTCGCTGCAGATGGAGATCCAGGCGAAGCAGCAGATCTCGGAGGAGCTGACGAAGATCAAGGCTGCTCACGTCGCCTCCGAGAAGTATGCTGTTTGTAGTCGTAGTCGATGTAGTGTAGATATATGTAATGTACAGGACGAATATATGTAATACTACGAGCGATGGGTTAAACCCAAATCGAATCGCATTCTGTAACCCAATACCTTCCCCCATCTGTAACCCAATACCTTCCCCCATCTGTAACCCAATACCTTCCCCCATCTGTAACCCAATACCTTCCCCCATCCATAACGCATCATCCACCAGCTTCGCTTGTCCCCCCTCCCCCCCAAAAAACTACACCTGCTAACGAGATATCGGGGTCCTCTGTCCGACAGAATACCTGGGGAAGACGGCGAGTCTGGAGGACCAGCTTCAGGAGATGCTGGAGATCAACAAGGAGCTGGAGATCATGGAGGAGGAGAAGCTGCAGCAGATCAAGACCCTCGAGAAGCAGGTGAAGTCTGCACGCACCGAGCGGGACGACGCGCTCAGGGTAAGACACGCTGACGTACGCAGGGTAGAGTAGTGTCAGAGGATGGTGTACTCAGGGTAGGGTCGTGTTAGAGGCACACATACTCAGGGTAGGATAATGTACTCAGAGCAGAAGAATATCCGTATAGATATACCTATATATATATATATGTGTGTGTGTCATTTAAAGATCCTCATATCTAAAATTGGAAATTTCTGAGATTTTCCATAAATTTACACAATATTAAATGTAGCGCTAGGGTGGGAAATAGTTAGTAGCAGACTCTAACTTGCCACGTACAATACGGCGTGTGACTGACTGCTGGTATAAAATGATCTGTTCCTAACTCTGCTCTCTCTCTCGCTCTCTCGTTCGTTCGCAGGAGTTGGCATCGTTCCAGGAGAAGTACAGCTGTCAGTCGAAGGAGCTGAAGGACGCTCTAGGTCAGCGCAAGCTCGCCATGACAGAGTTCACCGACGTCAGTGACAAGTGAGCATTCACGCAGTTCTACCCGTGTCTCGCTGCGTCTAACAATGCTGTGATTTGGCAGTGAATCTTTGCAGCCTGACCGGCGGCTAACTTGTGGCTGGCCACGTATTGGCACCGCCGCTCTTCAAATAAGACATGGCCGTGTATTTGTGTTTTTGGTTTGTGTTGCATTCGATAAAAATAACCAAATTACGGGGAGTTGAGTTTGATTTGAGAGTGGCAGGCTAATGTTGGGATGTTTGCCTTGCGGCTTAGAGTATTTTTATTTTTGATTGCGGCTACACCTCTTCTCATCTCTCTATCTCTCGCGCTCACACTCACAGGTGCCGAAGCTGGGTGGCATTAAGCGCGGCTGGGTGAAGCAGCACGTCGTCGTCTGTGATTACAAGCTCTTCCTCTACGACCTTCTCCCGGACAAGGGACCCGGCGTCGAGGTCGCCGAGGTCATCGACATGAGGTAGGGGGCGCCACGCTCGCGCGCGCTGACCGCCGCCGCTCGGCGTGATTATGTTTGACGTTTTGCACGTCGTTTTTTAACTCGTAATTTGTCTTTTTTTTGTACCGCATTGCGTTCGTGTTTTTAAGCGTGGTAAAATAGCAGGAGAATTATACTATCATGTAGTCAATGCAGATAGACTTATAATATCAAAAAATAAACGTCTTAACATCTGTTAAACAACCATTAAATCTTAACATCAATTAATAATTATTAAGCTTATATATTTATTTTGCAATATATTTATGCCTGCACTCTGCAATGTAACAACTCTCTCTGTTACAACTAGGGACGAGGATTTCTCAGTCACCTCAGTGCTGGAGTCAGATGTCATCCATGCCAATAGGAAAGACATAGCCTGCATATTCAGGGTAGGTGTCGTGCCTGTAGCAGTCTGTAGCTGCGGCTGTGAATTCTCTTGTTGACTGGTCGTACGTGAAAAAAGTGAGAAAGGAAATTGCAATAGTGTGAATTCTCTTGTTTTTGTGTAGTCAGTGGTACGTGAAAAAAATAGTGAGAAAGGAATATTGTAATAGTGTGAATTCTCTTGTTGACTGGTCGGTCGTACGTGAGACCAGTATTCGGATTGAGAGAGGAATATCTGGGAAGCGTATCCACGGCTACGCTGTGATGACGGTGGCAGTTGCTCTGGCGGCATGCATCGTGGTAGCGCGCACGTTCGTGCATGCGCCCGGCGATTGTGCTAGAGCACGGCAACGCTTCATGGAGCCCAGCGAAGCATCATGCTGATGCTTCGATCGGCTTCCTCTAACCATTGAAACGTTCGTCACCTACAGTGACAAACCATTGCCAGCCTCAGTGCATCCCCCCTGATCGCTTTCCAACCTTCTCCTGGACCCGCGTTACCTCTGCATTGATTCAGTGACATTGTGAATCCCTGACCAGCGTCGGTGCATCGCCCCCTGACCGCTTCTGCAGCCTCCCGCCCGCATCCTCGTTAGCCACGGCTGGATGGAGTGACAGCCGGTCAGCGGTTGAGAAGACGTTTTTGCTTTGCGCGTGTTTGCGTATGGCTTTCCGCGCTTTACCAACTGCGCGACTGAGAGACACTTTCCAGGGAAGCGTGGCGCCCTCCCGTGGTGGTGGTTGTGGTGGGTGTAGCGTGCGGGATCGGCCGCTTAGCTTGCGAGTGACTGACGTAAGCGTTCGCCATGCAGGCGCAAAGCCCAGGTCGCCGTCCTCACAGCCGGCGTAGCTAAATGAAACTGGTCTTACTCGCGGGTGCCTGCCTCGCTAGAAATGCGTGTGCTTTCTGTATACGCTTCTTGTGGACGTGTAAGTTTAACTGCTTTTGGGTCACTTGTACTTCGTAATGACTAGTTGCATACCCCAACTTCTATGAATTAGTTCGAGTGTAATGGGGTAGTAGTATTGTAATGGCGCTTCATTGAGCTAAACAATAACTAGGCGAGGTAGTAATGGGGAACACACAGCTAATTGAAGTGATGTGTATGTTATTGAGCAGTATAAGATACCGCCAACTGAGTCACTGATGGTTGCCCGGCGAAATCTAGATGTTTCTCTCTCTCTCTTTCTCTCTTACTAATAGAGAAGGAGAGGGGAGAGGGATAGACAGACATACAGACAGGCAGACACGCACGCACGCACGCACGCACGCACGCACGCACGCACACACAGATATATATATATATATAATGTTAATGAGGCAGCACCATGTATCAGGGTGTGTTTAGTAGGGAGCGTGGCAGGAGGTGGGGGGGATCCAGGGTGGAGTGGGAAGTTGGAGTTGGCGGTTTCCCTGGAATGGATTTCCCAACTAACTGCATGCTCGTCTCTCACTCTCTCTCCCTCATCCTTTTCTCCTTCTCTTCCAATTTTTCTCTTCCCCTCTCTCCATCGCTCCTACTCTTCCTCCCTCTCTTTTCCTCTGCTCTCCCTCGCTCTTCTCTCTCCATCTCCCTTGCTCTCCCTCCATATTTCCCTCTCTCTCCCCCTACCTCCTCCTTTCTATGCCCTCCCTCCTCCCTTCCTCTCCCTCCTCCCTCCCTCTGCCCTCCATCTATCCCTCTCTCTCTCCCCCTAGGGAGGGGAGGGGGAGAAGAGGGATAGATGGAGGGCAGAGGATGGGAACGGGAGAGGAAGGGAGGAGGGAGGGCATGGAAGGGAGGATAGGGAGAGAGAGTGTGATAGATTGGAGGGCAGAGGGAGGGAGGAGGAAGAGGAGGAGGAGGTAGGGGGAGAGAGAGAGGGATAGATGGAGGGCCTGAGGGAGGGAGTGAAGGGTAAGAGGAAGGGAGGAGGTAGGGGGAGAGAGAGGGATAAGATGGAGGAGAGGGAGGGAGGAGGGAGAGGAGGGAGGAGGTAGG